ACAGACAGAAAGAAAATTGAAACATGACAATGTCACAAAACCTAAAGAAGAAAGCTTTGAGGTCATCAAAAAAGACGATTTAAAAGAATTTCCTGGATTTGACCATTGGAAAGCCCTTAATGGCTCCTGGGGGAACAGTATTCATGAAATGGTAGGGAAGGGAGACATCATGGTCCCAGGAATAAAAGGGAGGGGAGGAGAGAGAAGCCAGGGGTGTGGACCACTTTCTCCAGCAGTGTGATGTTGAAAGAGTAGTGGGATAATGATAGGAAGGCAAGTTTGTGCGAGAAGCAGGCTCAAAAGAGGGTTTTCTTTTCTGCTCTTTTAATATGAGGACTTTATTATCAGGTTATAAAGTAAATTAAATTGATGTTTTCTCTTGCTCAGCACCACCAAGACCTTATGCACTAACTTGACTTACACAACTTGAAAAAGGAACTTGGGAGAAAGTGCCCTCATTTGGGGCTTCTTTGCTGTTGTTATTGACAATGGGGACCCCAGGTGTGATACTAGGACTCACAGATACCCTCAGAACTTTATTTCACTATTGATACAGGCAAAATGAAGTCTGGGAAGCACAGCATCTTAAGACCAACACAAGAGACAACAACCTGAGGCTAAGAGAGGTTGAAAATCTTTTGCCCATTTTTTTACCAGGTTGTTTGTTCTATTATTGTTAAATCGTAGGAATTCTTCATACATGGTAGATACCAATCTCTCATCAGATATATAATTTGAAATATTTTTGTATTCCCTGAATTGCCTTTTCACTCTGTTTATGGTGGTTTTTTTTTTCCCCCATATGGCAACGTTTTTAATTTTGAGAAAGTCCAACTTATCTGTTTTTTCTCTTTGGTTTATCCAAAGAGCTGAGCATGAGCCAGGAAAGTGTAAGGACCAGGGGGTAAACTTGAGCTCACAGAGCTAAAGAGTGAAAGTCTCTTGGGAGCCCTCCCAGCTCACTCTTAGCTTCTCATCTTCCAAATCTGGTTGACACCAGAAATTACTTATAAACTCTAATGCATGGCAGGTCTGGGGCAACTGATGTGCTTCCTCCCTGTTCAAGGCTAGCTCAGGTACTGGTTAAGGACTAGTGGGCAATCATCCGTCAATCCAGCTCGATGGTGCTGGGGACTCCCAAATGCGGGGGAGACGAGACAGAGGTTGACAAGGAACCACTGCTCCTTTGTGTAAGTTGTATGCTGCACAGCTTCAAGGGGTATTTTTCAAATCCCACTAATCATATATTTATACAGTTGCTATGTTGATTTCTTTTGGCATCAATGGAAGTAAAGCATCAAGGAAGAGGTGCTGTTTTCATTTTTCTTTTTTTATTGTGCAGAAAGTTTATTAGGAATGACTTATAGGATCGACATCTGTGTGGGAAGTGAAATAAACAGGTTACTAATAAAGAGGAGGAAATTGGGCCTCAGTGCAGGCACCACAAAGCCTCAGCCCCTTGAGAACTCTGAAAGTAGTTGTAATATCCTCACATTGACTGATCACCTGATTCAGGCCACCCCAAGAATGCAACCTGGCCTTGGGAGAGGTGGTTTTTTTCAGCTGAAGGAGGGCATCCCAGCATCTGGAGTAAGCCCTCCGGTCCTGAAGGGGAACTCTGAAGAGCTTAGCATAGTACCCACTGCATGATTTTAGCTATGCTTCAAAAGAGCAAATTTGGTTTAGTCTTGCTTTGGCTACGTGGGCTCCTTTTTGGTTCCGTATGACTTTTAGAATTGTTTTTTTCTAGTTCTGTGAAGAATGATGGTGGTATTTTGATGGGAATTGCATTGAATTTGTAGATTGCTCTTGGCAGTATAGTCGTTTTTACAATATCGATTCTACCCATTCATGAGCATGGGGTGTGTTTCCATTTGTTTGTGTCATCTATGATTTTCAGCAGCATTTGGTAGTTTTCCTTGTAGAGCTCTTTCATTTCCTTGGTTAGATATATTCCTAAGTATTTTTTTTTTTTGGAGCTGTTGTAAAAGGAGTTGAGATCTTGATTTGATTCTCAGCTTGGTTGCTGGTGGTGTATAGGAGAGCTACTGATTTGTTTGCATTAATTTTGTATTTGGAAACTTTGCTGAATTCTTTTATCAGAGGAGTCTTCAGGGGTTTCTAAGTAGACAATCATATCATTAGCTTTTTTTCTTTTCTTTTTTTATTGTGGGGAAATATAAAACACACATGGCATAAAATTCACCCACCGTTTTAATATGTACAGTTCTGTGGCAACAGTATTTACATTGCTGTACAACCATCACTACCATTCGTCCCCAGAGCTTTTTCACCTTCCCCAACTGAAACTCTGTACACACGAAACACTAATTCTCAATTCCCTCCTCCTGCTCGGCCCCTAGCAGCCACCATTCCACTTTTTGTCTCTATCAACTTGACTACTCTAGGTACCTCATATAAGGAGAATCATACAGTGTTTATCCTTCCGTGAGTGGCTACTTTCACTTAACATAATGTTTTCATAGTTCATCCATGTTGTAACACATGTCATAATTTATTTCCTTTTTGAAGCTAAATAATATTTCGTTGTATGCATGGACCACATTTTCTTTATCCATGCTTCTATTGATGGTGACTTGGATTGCACCCACCTTTTGGCTATTGTGAATAATGTTGCTATGAACATGGATTTACAAATATCTGTATGAGTCTCTGCTTTCACTTCTTTTTGGTTTATATCCAGAAGTAGAATTTCTGGATCATATGGTAACTACATTTAATTTTTTGAGGAATTTCCATGCCATTTTCGACAGGGACTGCACATCATCTTACATTTCCACTTGCATTGTATTCTTGCTAACACTTGTATTTTCTTCGTCTGCTTTTCATCCTTTTTTTTTCTGATAGTAGTCATCCTAGTGTAAAGTGGTAATTTATTATAGTTTTGACTTACATTTTCCTAATGTCTAATGAGATTAAATATCTTTCCATGTGCTATATCTTCTTTGAAGAATATCTTTTCAAGTCTATTGCCCATTTTTAATTGGATTGTCTGTTCTGTTGTTGTTAAGTGTAAGAATTATTTATATATGACATATACTGATCTCTCATCATTTGATGGGTTGCCTTTTCACTCTGTTTATAGTGTTTTTCCCCAATAGAAACATTTAAATTTTGAGAAAGTCTAACTTACCTGTGTTTTCTTTTGTTGCCTATGCTTTTGTTGCTGTATCCAATAAATCATTGCAAAATCTATGTCTTGCAGCTATTCCCCTATGTTTTCCTCCAAGGGTTTTATAGTTTTAGTTCTTACATTTTGATCTATTTTGAGTTAATGTTTGTATGTGGTATAAGGTAAGGATCCAAATTTATTTATTTATCTACATGCATGTGGATATCCAGTTTTCCCAACACCATTTGTAGTAAAGGCTATCCTTTTCTCATTTAATAGTTTTGGCACCCTTGTCAAAAATTATTTGACCCTGTATGCAAGGGTTTATTCCCAAACTCTCTATTTTATTCCATTTGTCTGTGTATCTGTCTTTATACCAGTACCACACTGTTTTGGCTACTGCGTCTTTGTAGTAAGCTTTGAAATCAGGAAGTGTGAGCCTTCCAACTTCATTCTTCTTTTTCAAGATTGTTTTGGCTATTCAGGGTCTCTTAAGCCTCTATATGAATGTTAGGATGGACTTTTCTATTTTTACATAAACTAACATTGAGATAGAAAGTGAGGGGTCCTGTTTCTTAATCTGTCAGATTTGTTACTTAGACTAGTGTTAGAACCATGCTGACATCTCAGAGACGAGTATATTTAGACATGTCACTCCAGTTATGGGAGAGTGAGTCACAGAGAGCTGTCACAGATTACAATTTGGGCAACCTATTCACTTCAATGTGAATGTAGAGGGGTGAGGCAGGATCCAATCACAAGAATAAGGCCATGGAGTGTGCACAGCTTTGGGAAGTTAAAGTGAACTAGCAAAGGAGAGATGGTTATAAATGGTTCCTCGGCTCTGAGCTGAATTCAAACTCCAGGATGCCTAACTCCCTTTTTTGTCCCTGAAGAAGGAAACAAACAAACAAAACCCTCTAAAACCCATCACTTAACAGATGAGAAAGGAGCTGAGGTCTCCATGTCAAGATCTTAAAAATCAGAAAGCCTGAGTGAACTTATGTTAGAGACAAAATAACTTCCTGGCTCCCTCCTATGTATCCTCCCACACCCCAGTAGCAATGAAGTGATGTGGATGAGTGCTCAGCTCCTGGAGTTTGACATTTTAAGTTTAAATCCTAGTTTCTTCACCTGTAGGTTCTGTGGATTACCTTGATGCCTATAAACCTCATTTTTCTTGTCCATAAAACGGGATTAGTATGATATTTGTGAACATTAATTAGAATAAAGTATGCAGGGGACTTAGTGCAAGCCTGACACTCTTCCATTCAACATATATATAGTGAACACCTATCACATGCAAATCACTGTTAGTAGTCGGGAATACGAAAAGTGAACAAAATCCACATGTTTACAGACTTGTCAAGAAGATAAATAACTAAACAAAGAGACTAAAAAATTATGTTATAATTAGAGCCATGAAAGAAATGTACAAGATTCCTTGATAAGGTATGACAGTAGAGATCTACTTTAGACCAGGAATGTCTTCCTGGAGGAGATGACATGTAAGTTGCAACCTACAGAATGAGAAATACCCAGCCATAGAAATAGCAAGTGGAGATGCATTCCAGGAATGTGCAAAGATTCTGAGGGCAGAAAAGCCCGGATGGTTCCAGAAACTAATAGAATGCCGGGGTGGCCAGGATAGAAAAAGCAAGAGGAGGAGGGACACAAAATAAGGCAGCAGCTGAGCACATGAGCTACCTTGAAGGCTAAAGTAAGGAGTTGATTTTATTTTAAGTTCAAAGAAACCCTGTAGAGGATTTTCAGCAGCAGAGTGACTGGTGTGTGTGTGTGTGTGTGTGTGTGTGTGTGTGTGTGTGTGTGTAAAGGCTTTTAGTTTAATAAGTAAAAATTGCTAAGCTTCCAAAAGTTCTTAAATAGGATTTCAGAGGGAGACATGAATTATTTTACATGTTTTAATATGCACTCCAACTGCTGAGTAGAGAACATTTTGTAGGGAGGCAGGAGTGGGTGTGGAGAGGGCCATCAGAAACCACTGCAGAAATCCAGGGAAGACATGATGGAGGCTGGGAAGGCGATGGAAGGGACGCAGACAAGAAGAGATAGAATTGACCAAACTTGCAGATGGATGTTAAGAACAGTGAGTAGAAGTCACCATGTAGAAGGTGCAAGGGGCATTTGCTTGGAAGGGAGGGGAAAGCAAGAGTTGAATTTGAGACAAGTTGGGTCTACCTTTGAGACATCCAAATGGAGACATAAAGTTGATGGTCAGATGTGAGAGTCTCAAAGTCAGAGGAAAAGTCTTAGCAGGAGATATGAATTTCAGAGTCATCAGCATTCACAGGATCTAAACCCATGGGAAAAAAAAAAGAGACCACCTAGGCAAAAATATGGAAAGGGCAGAAGGCCCAGGCCCTGACTCTGAGAAACACCCATATCATGAGTTCAGACAGAGAAAGAACAACAAGCAAAAAGATTAAGATGAGACGCTATTGAGATAGGAGGCCAACCAGAGAGTAGTGTCTCAGCACCAAGGAAAGCAAGAGTTTGGAAAGTGGGGAGATGTCACTCTGGTGAATGCTGCTGAGAGGCCAAGTAAAAGGAGGACAGAGAAGAAAATCCACCGGGTGTGGGAACATGAGGGTCGTTAGGAACCTCCACAAGAACAAATTTGCACTCTCTGGGATCAAAGTGAGGGCTTAATAGATGTTAACTATAATAATAATAGTAATAAGGTCCCTGCTCATTCTTTCTTTGAGCTTGTGTGAGGATAGAAAGACATGGGACCTCATCAGGGGACAGGAGTGCAGCACTGGGCAACTAGCTATTCACAAGTAGAAATTGGTTTTATTTTAAGGAGTAGGCTGGGACTCCATTGCCTTTTATGAATAATTGTCATAGCAGTTGTGGGCAACTGATGTTTTAGAAGATTTGATTACATCAGTACTTGGACGAAAAGGAAAAATATTTTTGTTTCTCTCCCTGCTATCTTTATTTCTCCAATTTAATCCTGCCTGTCATCTTTAACACTATTCTTCTGTGCTTTCTGTAGTTGTACTGCTTCCCTTTGTCACACATCAGAATACCATTTGGCATCAGCCCCAGCACGAAGGAGGGGACTTCATAGGCAGAGCCAATGCTAAATGTATGTCCCTCTATGTTTACCTGTATCTTTGTGGCCAGAGAGATGCCCATCCAGGGAGCCCATGAGACCTTTTCCTCTATGCATGAGCACCCTAGAGAGGGAGAAAAGAGATAAGAAGAGGAGGAAGCAAGATGGCAGCCATTCATTATGGATGACCAAGTCATTCATCTCATCTTCCTGCCTCTTGTTTGCTAAAGAACTGAACTGTTTGCCCAACCTTGACACAGCCATGGCACAAGATCTCAATCCTTTGGCACCATCTTGAAGAAACAGAGTGCCTAGATGATGTTGTTGGCTCTGCAATACTTACAGAATCCTAAAGAGCTCCGAATTGGAAGTCAACATGGATATAAATGAACCCCCACCTATGCTTTCCAAAGTCTGGCAGACATTTTTATCCTTGCTCCTTTGCTCCTTGGGTGCCAAGATTTCCATAGAGCCTGACAGCTTCTGGGAGCTCCAAGGAGACATGGCGTTCATTCCAGCCATGTGATCTGACAAAGAAATTCCTTGATGCATCAGCAAGGACTGTGGAGTGTGGAGTGAGCCAGGCATGTTCCAGCATGGGAGGCTCCCACGCCAACCACCATCTATCATTGCACAAGGAAAGAAGAAATCAAGAAGAAAGATTCTACTCAGTGAGTCTGGCAGGAGAGAACTGTGACAAACATCAGACCTCTGGCTCCCATTGCCCATCACTGCCTCACCAGTGTTCCATCATAAATATCACTCCGAATGTTTGTTGAAAGAATGGGATCAACAAGCAAATCCACAAATAGCTCAAGGTTCCTTTGCTCTGGGACTTCGGCGCAGTATTCCTTCCCCAGCTCCCATAGCTGCTGTTCAGGCCCTCGTCATATCTCACATAGACTGCTGCCAAGCCTCCTGACTAAGCTCCACACCTCCACTCTCCCCTCTTCAAATCCATCTCCCCCACTCCCAAAGCCATCTCTTTCAAAGAATAATTATGAGGAGCTGAATGTGTCATGTCCCTACCTAAAACCCTATCATGGCTCCCCATTTTCCCCTCGAATGAAGTCCAAGCCCCATGAAGACCGTCTGAGGGACCGGACCCCTGCCCTCTCAGTCTCATCTCTCACTTTTTCATATGTCATATGGTGGACCTCAGTGACAGCAAGCACCAGTACCATCCTGCATGGGCAAACTCCAGCTCATTCTCCAAGCCTCTATAGAGTCATCTGTTCCCTTACCCTTCCCTTCCACTTCTTGCTCCTTATCCTCTTCCCTTGGGTTGGGTGCTCTTCCCAGAAGCTTCCAGAATCTCTTGTACTCATCCCTATTGCAGCACCCAGGTCACACTTGCAATCTAATTACCTGTTTTGGGCTCTCTCTCCTCCACTAGCCAATGAAATTCTATAGGACAAAGCCTTTAATTTTAATTGATGATCACTAGTACCTAGCATGTTGGCTGGCATATAGTAGGTGTTCAATGCTTATGATGGAATGAATAAATAGTGTCATCAATAAATTCGTTTTAGACCACTTGCCTTGGATGTGTTAAAAGCCACCTTTTCACTATTGATATAGGTGGCTCTCTGTCCCCACCCAAATCTCACTTTGAATTGCAATAATCTCCACATGTCAAGGGCAGGACCAGGTGAAGATAATTGAACTCATGAGGGTGGTTCCCCCATGCTGTTCTCATGATAGTGAGTGAGTTCTCTTGAGATCTGATGGTTTTATAAGGGGCTTCCCCCTTTGCTCGGCACTCATTCTCTCTCCTGCCACCCTGTGAAGAGGTACCTTCTGCCACAATTGTAATTTTCCTGAGGCCTCCTCAGCAATACAGAACTATGGGTCAATTAAACCTCTTTCTTATATAAATTGCCCAGTCCCAGGTACGTCCTTATTAGCAGCGTGAGGACAAACTAATACAGTAAATTGGTACCAAAGGAGTGGGGTGCTACTGTAAGGATACCCAAAATATGGAAGCACCTTTGGAACTGGGTAACAGGCAGAGGTTGAAACAGTTTAGAGGGCTCAGAGGAAGACAGGGAAATGTGGAAACGTTTAGAACTTCACAGAAACTTAGAGGACTTAGAAGACAGGAAGATGTGGAAAAGTTTGCAACTTCCTAGCGACTTATTGAATGGCTTTGACCAAAATGCTGATAGTGATGTGGATAATGAAGTCCAGGCTGAGATGGTCTTCGATGCTATGAGGAACTTTCCAAGAAATGGAGTAAAAGTCACGCTTGTTATGCTTAGCAAAGAGACTGGTGGTTTTCCCCCCTGCCCTAGAGATCTGTGGAACTTGGGACTTGAGAGAGATGATTTAGGGTATCTGGTGGAAGACATTTCTAAGCAGCTAAGCATTCAAGAGGTGACAGAGCACAAACTTTGGAAAATTTGCAGTCTGATACTGCAGTAGAAAAGAAAAGCCCATTTTCTGAGGAAAAATTCAAGCTCTGAATCCCAGCCTCTCTAGCTATGGCTAAAAGGAGCCAAAGCACAGCTCAGGCCATTGCTTCAAAAGGGTGCAAGCTCCTAGCCTTGGCAGCTTCCATGTGGTGTTGGTCCTGTGGGACCAGAAGACAGAATTGAGGTTTGGGAACCTCCACTTAGATTGTAGAGGATTTATGGAAATACCTGGATATCCAGGCAGAAGTTTTCTGCAGGGGCAGAGCTCTCATGGAGAACCTCTGTTAGGACAGTGCAGAAAAAAAATGTGAGATCAGAGTCCCCACACAGAGTCCCCACTGGGGCACTGACTAGTGGAGCTGTGAGAAGAGGGACACTATCCTCCAGACCCCAGAATAACAGATTCACCCACAGCTTGCGCTATGCCCTTAGAAAGCCACAGGCACTCAACACCAGCCATGAAAGCAGCAAGGAGGGTTGTGAAAAGCCACAGGGATGGAGCTGCCCAAGACTGTGGGAACCCACCTCTGGCATCAGTATGACCTGGATGTGAGACATGGAGTCAAAGGAGATCATTTAGGAACTTTAAGGTTTAATGACTGCCCTATTAGATTTCAGACTTGCATGAAGCCTGTAGCCAATGTAGTTTTTGGGCAATTTCTTCCATTTGGAACAAGTGCATTAACCCAATACCTGTATACCATTGTATCTAGGAAGTAATTAGCCTGCTTTTGATTTTATAGGCTCGTAGGCAGAAGGGACTTGCCTTGTCTCAGATGAGGCTGTGGATTGTGGACTTCTGAGTTAATGCTGAAATGAATTAAGACTTTGGGGGACTGCTGGAAGGGCATGATTGTGTTTTGAAATGTGAGATTTGAGAGGGGCCAGAGTGGAATGATATGCTTTGGCTTTGTGTCCCCACCCAAATCTCACCTTGAATTGTAATAATCCCCACATGTCAATGGCAGGAGCAGGTGGAGATAATTGAATCACAGGGGTAGTTTCCCACATGCTCTCCTCATGATGGTGAGTGAGTTCTTATGAGAACTGATGGTTGTATAAGGGGCTTCCCTTTTTGCTCAGCACTCATTCTCTTTTCTGCTGCCCTGTGAAGAGATGCCTTCTGCCATGATTGTACATTTCCTGAGGCCTCCCTAGCAACGCAGTACTGTGAGTCAATTAAACCTATTTTCTTTCTGAATTGCCCTGGTCTCAGGTATATCTTTATTAGCAGCATGAGAATGAACTAATAAGACTATATAGGAATTGCTAAGGGAAAAATGCATACAGTGGTGACAACAATTATAGGTCTAGCAAGTAAAGTCGAATTTCATCTTAAGATGACTTAGAGAATCTTAGGGAGTCTCAGAGCAGTCTCCGAAACCAATCTCTTATGGTTCTGATTTTCCTATCTCAGATGAATCGAGAAGATTCTATTTTCTCACCAATGTCATTTTCCCCTCTGATGAAGCTCGGGTGCCCTGGCACCATGCCCTTCTTGACAGTAGTTTCCTCTGGTATCTTGGTACCTCGTTCAAGCTCTGAATTAGCAGCCCCTAGATCTCTGCAGAACAGATCTGTCCTGGCTGATGGTTCATAGCTCATATTTCCTCCTCTCTTGGTCCCTTTTTGTCTTTGCAAATGTGGTTCATGATGAAATAGGGCAGCAGACCCTGTGTTAATGATTTTCCATCTTTCTGTTTGCTGGATAATTTCAGGTTTCTTTTTTTCCTCTATGATTTCAAAACAGGTAGATGAAGACATTATTTCTCTTCTTAAAAACTTTGTGTCCCTGGGTCACAGTACAGATTAATTTATCACTGGCAACATTGTTACTCACTTTGTCTGCTAAAGTCGTGAGAATACAAATAGTTTCTAGGTTGAATTAACCTCCTAACAGCATGAGGGAATTTGGAGCAATAAACAATACCTTTCCAACTTCTCTACATCTTGCTCTGCCTACAATATCTGCCACCCCACCTGCTACTTGTGTGTTTTCCAGTTTGTTAAGCTCATTCTCGATGTGATGCTCAGAGCAGAGCTTATTTCTCCAAAAGAGGTCCAGTCAATGTGGAGGCCAGTGGAGCTATTGCCACATCAGCTCAGAATGCTACAAATTGTCCCATTCAGTCCAGAGTCACTGTGACTTGCAACTAGTTAAGCAGGAGTTAAAATCCCGATACAGACAGTGACCTCTCTTCCTATTCAACCTGTCTCATTGTCCAAGTGTGCCTTCGAAACCTGATGTAAGAAAATTGATAGAAAAAAGAAGAACATACAGCAAAATGATTGCTAACGAATCTTGTAAATAAGCTACTCTCTAAGTTCATTTAAATAGTTCCATGGGTTTTTCTGTGTGTTGTTGTTGTGTTTGCTTTTTGGGTTTTTCTTGTTGTTGTTTTTTTGAGATGTAATCTTGCTCTGTTGGTAGGCTGGAGTGCAGTGCCAAGATCTCAGCTCACTGCAACCTCTGCCTCCCAGGATCAAGCAATTCTCCTGCCTCAGCCTCCTGAGTAGATGGTTCAGGAGTAGAAGACGTGCCGCCACACCCAGATAATTTTTGTGTTTTTAGTAGAGACTGAGTTTCCCCATTTTGGTCAGGGTGGTCTTGATCTTGACCTTGTGATCTGCCCACCTTGGCCTCCCAAAGTGCTAGGATTACAGGTGTGAGCCACCACGCCCAACCTAAATAGTTCTATGTTTTCAATTA